AATTCTTGATTTCGATGACTCATTTTCCTTCCAGCATCTCAAAGTTTAAACACAAAAGAGGAAAGTGTACATTAATTAAAATCCCTCCGTAGCAACCCACTCGTAAAAATCATTTCTACTATTCTTAGAGAGGCAATATAAGAACTGCTTATTTCCTTTTTGGTGACAGTATTGTCAAATGTGCAAGATCAACCACGCTATAAAAATGCCCTTTTGACATCCTGTTGAAATCTTGGCTTCTAGCAGTGACGTGCAGTCAGGGGAGGCAGAGCCTCACCACTGTCATCATGAAAAGNAAGTAATTGTAAGTAATTTGTGTGTGTGTGCGCGTGCGTGCGTGCGTTTGTTTCTTTACTCAAACCAACTCTCAATTTGAGAGAGAGTTTGTTTGAGAGTGAAAAGAGGGAAGCGGGTAGGAGAGGCAGGGAGGGCAGCCCGCCAGCTTTCTTTCTCTGGGTCCGCGGCAGAACTCAGGCGGGTGAAAGAAAGTGCTTTAGACAGTGGGATGTCGGGGGAGAGGACTGCCTCACCAGCCATAAACCTCACCGCACGTCACTGGCTTCTAGTCTTCTGAAGAATAGGAGATAGAAGCTCCTAGTAGTCCTTTGGTCTCTTTTCAGGTGGCAAAGGCCACTAAGTGCTTTCCTTTAGCAAGTGGTATTAGAAGGCCAGTACTTTCTAGCAAGAATTAGAAAGCAGTTTCTCTAGAGCAGGGGTAGGGAACTATGGCCCTTTTATGACCTGTGGACTTCAACTCCCAGAATTCTCGAGTCAATATGGCTGGCTCAGGAATTCTGGGAGTTGAAGTCCACAAGTCATAAAGGGGCCTTAGTTCTCCACTTCTGTTCTAGAGGAAGCAGTTCAATTATTATCAGAGGCCAAGCTAATCTTCCTTGCGTCTTGTTGATTTTTCCAAGAAGCAGGGGGCCTTAGTTTTTTTTATGAAACCCAAAGCTGCCTTCTTTACACCAGATCTTCAGTACTATTAGAGCAGTGATGGGATTCACTTACCTTCCCTACCGGTTTGCATGTGCAAAAGGTTGCGCATTACATTGGGGGGGGGGGGGAAACCTTCCGCAGCCATTACTACCGGTTCGCCTGAACCAGAGAGAACCAGCTGAATATCACCTCTGTATTAGAGGGAGGGAAGATGATAGTTCTCTGGTACTTCATCATCTCTTTAGAGTTTCAATATTACTAAGCTTATCTTTGGTTCAAGACTTTTATTCCTGGATTCTGCTTGAGTTTTGACAGGGGCCACCTTTTTTTCAAAGTTTCTGTACTGTAATTAAAATATGTGGAGACTTCTAGGTTGACACTTACAGAGGAGACAGGAGGGTAAGAGGACAATAGCCTGATCTTTATTCTGTAAACCGAGCAGATCTTCTTTTGTGGAAATCTGTACCCTTGAAGTTTTTCGTTTCAGTGCTCCCTCATCGTCCTTTCACTGTCACCTTAGGTTGAGAAGCAATTCCCATTCAAAACAAAAGGGAGAAAATTATTTTTCCCCCGAGACAAAAAGCAGATCCAAATTATAAAATGAAATTTCTAAAAACTCACCCATGGATTCCCTATTTATATTGCTAGGAAGATTTCTAGAAGGTACAAATCAGGCTTCAGCATATTGACTAAAGATAAGCTGAGTAAAGTGGCTTATGCAGACAGAGGACATTTCTTTGCTTAGTATCTATCATATTGCGCCATAAGTTGAGTTGAGAGAACAGAGTCCTAGTATGAATAGGTAGAGATTTTAAAGAAGTCCGGGTACATATAAATCTTTTGAATTGGATACAGACAAGTTATTAAATTATAAAGTTAGTGTGATTAAAACATAGGAAGCTCCATGCTTGAATGTTTACTTGGCCAGTCAATTAGCACTCAAATCCAGGGAAGCTAAATCACAATTATTTGTAATAGTTTGAAGAAAATTCAGTTCCCTCGTAAAAAGGGAGAGGTTTAGAGTTAGTGTATTAGGATATTAAATTTAGTAGGATAATTAAATTTAGTAGCTAGCAAAGTGTACAGTGGGCCAGATTCAGTGGTGGGTTTCAAAAATTGTTCGAACCTACTCTGTGGGTGTGGCCTACTTTGTGGGAGTGGCTTGTCGCCCATGTGACCGGATGGGAGTGGCTTGGTGCCCATGTGACGGGATATGAAGATGCCAACGACACTTGTCAGAACCACCTTAAATTACCTCACACACAGCACTGGCATGCATAAGAATAGGATGTAAGCTTGTTTTT